GACAAAATCGATAACGTGCCTCTCATATCCAGTACCACAAAAAGGTGTTAAGACTTAGGAATGGAGTGAGTGGACTGTATGTCTTGCTCATCCAGAATCCTTTCTTGTAATTAACAAAAAGGACATTGTCACACAAATTATTGAATAGGTGAACATGTACGAACGGATAACTGAAGTTCTGTTGAAGATTCTGTTTCTTCGAACTTGATGTGTGGCAAAGCAAAGAAGCTTTTCCTCATCATTGACCCCAGTAAATAGCCAGGAGAGAAGGATAATTCTGGGGCCTACTGAGAGGTCACCAGAGTCTCAAAGCCTCTGGAAAGCAACATCTTAGGACGCCCATGTAGTGATGAGAGTTGGTGGCATTCAAGGGTTCAAGCACAGCTAATGGGTCTTTTCTGGCACAGATGAGGGTCTAGAGCAGCCAGTAGTCAAAGTACATTGCTGTAATTTCCAGAAAGAACATGTAATGTTGCAAGTCCAACATCAAAGTGAAGTTTATACTCAAGAGAAAACAGATAGAAAGCAAAAACAAACAAAAAAACTCGTCAGAGTTAATAATAACGTTGCCCTTTAAGACTAGATTGACTCAGTGTACTCTGGAGAACCCACGGATCTCCTTTTGAGCAAACATAAAATAAATTAAATCCAAATTCAGTCATAGAGAAAGGACTCAACAAATGCTGGTTGTCTAAATGTATATGTAGTACATATTTAGCATGTACTAAATCATATGAAAGATACTAAGAGGCTACAGAAAAGATGATCTAGAAACGAACAAGACACAGTTCTTGACCACTAGGAACTTCAGATTTGCTCCAGCTGCTAAGAAGAAATAATACATTAAATAAAAATAGCAAAATTCACAGCAGTTGCATAATGTGTTACCACTTAGGAAAAAAAGTTTAAACATGTACTTTTAACATACGTTTCCATATTTAGACGATCTTTAGAAGAATGCATGAGCAAAAGGCAACAGCAGTTGCTTCTGGAAAGGGCAACTGGGGGATGGAATGGAGATTTTTAGCTGTCTCTTATTACACCTTTTGAATTTTGAATGGTGGAAAGGTATGAATTCAAAATTCAATAGCATTTAAATAGAAAAGAAAGAACTATTAAATAATACCAGACACTATATAAACAAGAATCACATTATATGGCAAAGCCAAATACATCAGGGACAAATATAATGCCAGAAAAGAAACTCAAGAGTTATTTTCCACAGTTCTTTTAAACGCTGACTTCTCATGAACTAAAATTGCTTTGACTATTACAATGTTTAAGTATATCTAACTGTCCTGGAACACATTGACTGGCCTGTCCCCTCTTCTTGCAACATTGCTAGACTTTCCTTCTCATACTATTCTCTTCCAATAACTAAAGCTATGATACTGTACTAAATTGTAATAGTAACTTTTCTCATCAATCTCATTGTACTATGAGCTCCTCGAGGGCAGGTACTTTGTCTTGCTCACGTCTGTAGACTTGATGCCTGGCACAGTAATTGATATGCATGGACACAATAAATAGTTTTAGAATAAATGAATTGCTTAAAATAAAATACAGCTATTAATTGTATTCTAAAAGGACAGTGGATGACAGTTGTGGAAATCTGAGGTCTGCTATTTACTGGCTTGGGCATGTTACTTCACATCTCTGCTTCCTCAGCTGTAAAATGGGTATTATAATAATAGTGGTTACCACAACAGGATTGTTATAAAGATGAAATGAGACTGTGTGTAGGATACCACATGGTTGTAAAACTGATATTTAAATGGAACAGATACCGTAATAGATACTTGAGGTCTGAGAACAAGATTATTCAAGTCAACCAGAGTGTTAATGGGTTAAAAATAAGATAAGATCCTAAACAAACCCATGTTTTGTTCTCTATGTTCCTTATTTGTATTCATAGTTACGGAGGATACAAAGCACCTTACAAATAGTATATGTCTTACTGGAGGTGAGCAAGTCATTAAGCAGCAAGTTTAGTTGTGTGATAACATTTTAACACCTACTACAATATGTCTTCAAAAGAAGTCATTCACAATTACACTCACATGACAAGAAAGCCCCACAGACTCACAATCAGTAGAAACAACTCATACTTAAAAACTATTCCAACACTGGGGCTCTCAGTCACGCAGAAGACAAACGGGGCTCTTCTGCAGGAACTGACCATTAAATCAGGGATTCTCAACCCATTTTCCTAGGATGTGTGACTTGCTTGGAGGCTGCTCATTCAGAAATGTCCTTTCTCCCTTTCTCATGCACCGATGGGTCTCAGTCATTTTGAGGTACCAAGATTTCCTTCCTGGTTCTGCTTTCTACTTCATCTTTCCTTGTTCTCCTCTTCTTTTCCCCGGTTCCGTTTTCAGTGCTTGGTACTTTTAAGTCCTACATCCTCTGCATCCCACAGGTCCATTCATTCTTCTGGTCGTGCTTAGCCCTGATAAACTCCCAAACCACAGGCTGAGAATCCCTGCTTGAAGATCAGAAGCTCCAATGCTGGATGATGTCTCCTCAAATTGTGTACCTGGGGGGTGATAATAGTACATTAATTTCATGGAGAAGGATCTGGAAAAAAGTAACAAAAGATCTAATGAGAAACTTACATTTGCTAAACAATGTAATAAGTTTGCAACAAGAGGAAGAGGACGATTATATTTATGCCCAATTACCTTTAAGCGGTGAAGGAGGACCAACCACCCAGGTTTGCCTGAGACTGTCCTGGTTTTGAAACTGAAAGTCTGATGTTCTGAGAAACCCCTCAGTCCTGAGCAAATTGGGATGGTTGGTCCCCTAGGATGATCCCCCAAAATTTACTAATTAGCTTTATAACACAAATGAGTGCTATGGATCACGTAACGAAACCTGACCGAGCTTGTCTGAGTTCATTAGACGACTTTAAACCTGGGCTCATTGTTAAGTTTGGTTTCTAACTACATTAAGAAGAATAAGAAAACTTAATGTAAATTTATTCTTAGTTCAGTCAGCTGGATGAGGTTTTCCTGGTCTTTATACATGTAGACATTTGTAGCATAATGGATTTAAGTGAATGGGTTAAGAATAAGTTTCCATGGTCAGGCTAGTGGGCCCCCAAGCTTGATTTTTGTCATCAGCTGTGTGTTCTAGGGCACTTCACATTACCTTCTTGACCTCTGTTTTCTCTTCTGTAGAAGGTGGATAATTCTTACATCTATCTCTCTCTCTCTCTTTTTTTTTTTTTGGTGGGGAGATTTAATGAGATACTGCACATGAAGCAGTTATCACAGTGCCTGACACACACATTTTAGAACTAACTAATTAATTAATTAATTATCCATCCATCCAAGTCAATTCTGTCCTCTGTTGCAGAGAGATGCTGTGATGCAGGGCAATAGATACTCAGCAAAGAGAAGCTGCCTCCTCCCCCACTCCCCTCTTCTTCCCACAAAGCTGCTCACCACTCTGTACTTTGAGGGCCATCCCTAGATCTCCCTGGACTGTGGGAGGAGTTCTTAGATTAGAGCTGGGAGGCAAAGAGGAGCCCGCTGTTCCAACAACCAGCATTCTTCAAAAGGAGGAGAGATTACAATGGCTGGATTTTTCCTTATTACTGATTTAGCTTTTTGTTTCCTTTTCCTTCAACTTCCGATCCCTTCTGATATTCTCAGCATTTTGTTTCTTTGAGTTTGTATCATGAATGCCACATTTTCCACATCCATTATTCTTACTTGAGAAAAAGAAGTCATTTTTGTTTCCATATAGCACAACTCTACATCCCACACAGTGACTCAAGTTTAAATTCTAGGTTCCCATGAAATACTTTTAATCCCCTAGGAAGTCTGCTGGACTTGCTTATTCCATGGGTCCCAGCCCTTGAAGTTGATTAACTCAACACTTTAGGGCACATGCCTTTGCTCCTAGATTTCCCTAGGAGTATACTTATACTTTTATTTTCCATCCTTTCTTCAGAGATGGACCAGATTCTGGGGTACTTCATTATCTATTGGTTCTCTAGCCATTCCTAATGCCAAGTAATTTTTTTTTTTTTTTTTTATTCCAGGGAAATATTCAAAATGCAAGCTGGCACTACATTCCCAGATTCACTCACCCTTAATGGGTTGTGGGGAATTTCTCAACTACTATTAGAATCCCCCCTCCATATTCTACTTCCCTATTTGACAACAGACAATGTAAATGCAGACCATCATTGGATCCCTTGGTACACTTCTCAAAGTATTGGGGAAAATGTTTCCTCTGAATCATTTTAAAATGGGAGGAAATGATTTGAACATACTCATTTTCCTAAATTTTAATTGCTCCTATGGGTAAATACTTCTGAAAGTATGTAACACCTTCCACTAGAAATCTTCCAAAATACTCTGTGGTAAAAATACCACACTCTACAGAAGGTACTATTTTTATTACTTAGGTTCCAAGAAACTTAACCCTCTCTCTTCTGTAAATCTGTAGTTATTTGAATGATGGAAAGAAACTGTATGACATTGAGTCTTCTTCAACCTCCTTACGCACCCATTCTCCCACCCCTCACCCCTGTTCACCTGATCTTCACCCAGCAATCCCACTCACCTTCACTATAATTGCTATTGGACAGTGGAAAGTCTTTATGCCACCTTGCAAAAGTAAGTCAGGTTTCCCTGCAGCCATGATCCAACTCTCACTCCCTTGGAAAAGCTACTGCAAGTGTTCATTGCTGCCGTCTAATGTAGGTGATGCTGCAGAAAAGTGAAATGAGCAGTACTGAAGGAAGAGGTGGTACATGATTCACACAGTGATACAGCTAAAAACCACTTTGCATAATTCAAAGTTGGCCCTGGAAGGGAAGGCTAACAGGAGGGCAGCATGTTATAAATCAGTGTTTCTCAGCGGAGGCACTGCTAGCATTTTGGATAGGACAGTTCCTTGTTATGTGGTTCTGTCCTGCATGTTGCAGGATATTTAGCATCTGTGGCTCTGCCCACTAAGTGCCATCAGGGCAATAACACTTTCAGACATCATCCTACATCCCCAGTGGAGACCACTGTAATAAAAGAAATATCACCTTTTCTTTGACAGAAAATGATTGTCAATGCTACCCCAAAGGACAACAGGACAGCTCCCAGAACACCAAGTGAGTCCTCATATTTGAGGGAAATACCTTAGGTGGTTCTGAAAAACAAGACAAAACAAAAAGAAACAGACTAAAGAAAAATTTTGATGGGTATGGGTCAGGAAAATAATCATCCTTGAAGTTTAAGTTAGATTTAGGTTAATTTTCTTAAATACTAAAAGTTCCTGGCCAGTGAATGGCTGGAATGGTGAGATACCTCTGACAAGAAAATGGGAGCAGCATGGAGAAGTAGAAGCCCAGGCTTTGGACAGGTGGACCTGGGATTAAATTCTGCTGCCATTGACCAGCTTTGAGATTGTGGGCAAGCCCTTTAACCAGCTACAAAATGGAAGCTAATAAATATCTTGCAAGCCTAATGTTTGTAAAGTGCTTACCATAGTACCACAGGGAACGGCTGCTTAACACTAAATGGCAGCCTTGATTATGTTACTTCCTATTGCATTCTTTAATATAGAAGCCAACAGCCCACTGTACATGGCAAAGATGGCCCACAGTGGAAGATGGAGGGCCAACAGCACAGCTAAGCATCTCCCACCTCCTCACCTCTTGTGGTCACAATTGGGATCAGTGCTTGTTATCATATCTTTCTCTGCAGTTTGGACATCTCTGGACCTCTAGTCATTGGCCCCTCTCACCAGTCTCTCTGTCTGCAGTCCCATGCAGGAGGAAAAGGCGCCGCACAGCATGCAGGTACTCAGACACTGCTGTGTCCCACTGCTCACCATCAGTCCGGTCCCACTCGGCTCAACTGTCAACTGAGACCCATTATCCTTAACTACCTAGTTCAAGCTTTAAAGCCACAACAGCAGCCTGACTTTGTCTAGTAGCTTACAGTTTACAAAGTCTGTTCATATATATATATATATATATATATATGTATATATTGTAAACTGTAAGCTACTAGACAAAGTCAGGCTGCTGTTGTGGCTTTAAAGCTTGAACTAGGTAGTTAAGGATAATGGGTCTCAGTTGACAGTTGAGCCGAGTGGGACCGGACTGATGGTGAGCAGTGGGACACAGCAGTGTCTGAGTACCTGCATTATATATATATATATATATATATATGTATATATATATATATATATATATATATATATATATTTTAATCTTTTATCTTTTTCCGTGTCCGGCAACGGACCGCAACCCTCAGTGTTGCCCCCGCACCGGACCGGGGACCGGCAACGGGATCGCAACCCTCGGTGTTGCTCCCGCGCCTCGCTCAGCCAGTGAGCGGGAACCGGTCTGTATGTGGGATCCGAACCCTCGGGCGGGAGCGCCGCCGCGCTTCCTAAGCGGCGCACTATCCAGTGCACCACCGGGCCGGCCCTGTTCATATATATTTTATTTGAGTCTCAAAACAACTTTATGAGTTAGGCATCCCAGGTATTAAAAAAAAAATACCCAAGTTACAGATGAGGAAACAGACTTGGAGCAGTTAAGTGAGATACTCTAGGTCACTCCACAAATAAGTTGCCATTAAACAGCTTTAAATGGCAGGAACCCACTAATCTAGCTCTTACTGAGGGCCAGTCCAGCACCTTAGGACTCATATCCTAGTAGGAACATCTCCTTAACTTTCTAAATTTGGTGGTTTTTTTTCTTCTCAAGATCATCCTGGATTGTCTTTTCCTATTGGTTGACTTCTCTATCCAGTTTTTAGTTGTTTTTTCTGACGTACCTGGACTTTTCTGTCAACATCTATTGGCGGGGGAGGGGTTGACGGCTGGTGCTCCCACCACAGATGCCTGCAAATTAGGCTGTGAAGTCACTGCATGGAACTCATGGGCAGTGAGCACAGTGTAGGGAGCTGCTAACAGCCCACACAGTTGTATTTTTCCAGAGAGGAAGTACACCTGAGTCCCCCCACACCCCTCGGTCCTGGGCTGTTGCTGGACATTGCCATTTTGGGATAGGAGCCAAGGGAGCTCAGAGTCCCACTGACCCAGCCCTGCCCTCCCAGCAGAGAGCATGGGGGGAGAAAGCTGGCCACCTGGACCCAGGCCCTCCATCCCCTAGGAGCTCAGAACCCCACCCAAACTCAACGTCCTCCACTCCTCTGCCCAAGGCACAGTAAGCAGAGACTGCACTGGTCACCTGGATCCATGCCCTCCTTCCCCAGGAACTCAGAGTCCCACCTACTATAGTGGACCAGCCTGTACCAGCAGAGAGTAGGGAGAGCATGCTGGCCACCCTTCTTCCCCTGGGATCTCAGAGCCCCACCCCAGCCCCAGCGGACTGTGAGCAGGGACTGTGGCAGTCCCCTGTGCCAGTTGCCTGGATCCACACCCACCTTCCCCAGGAACTCAGAGTCCCACCTGACACAGGGGCCTGCCTGTACCAGTGGAAAGGGTACAGGGGGAGAGTTGGCACTTACTACCACACTCACCCACAACCAAACCTATTTTGCCCAACCTGACTGATAGAGTTTGGATGTGTTGTCTCCCCCCAAACTCATGTGGAAATCTGATCCCCAATGTGGCAGTGTTGGGAGCTATTTGAGTCATGGGGGCAGGTCCCTCATGAATGGATTAATGTTTTCCCTGGGGGACAGGTAATGACTGAGTTCTTGCTCTATTGGTTCCCATGAGAGCTGGTTGTTTAAAAGACCCTGGTACCTCCCCTCTCTCTCCCGCTTCCTCTCACTGTGTGATCTGCTTGTACTCTCTGGCTACTGCCTCTTTCTGCCATGAATAGAAGCAGCCTGAGGCCCAAGTCAGATGTCCCTGTCCAGAATCATAAGCCCATTAAACCTCTGTTCTTTATAAATTATGCAGTCTCAGGTATTGTTGCAGCAACACAAAATGTACTAATACAATGACTATTAATATAGAACACTCCTATAGGTAACAGTATATCCCCTCAAAAAATACTGCAAAAATTAAAAGAAGTGACTACACCATCAGATGCCCCAAAATCAATGCAGAAATACAAGGAGCACAAAACAAAACAAAACAAAACAGGGAAACATGACTCTTGGCAAAGAAGACAATAATTCTCCAATAACAGACCCCAAACAAGAGGAAACCAGTGAAATGCCTGAAGAGGAATACCAAATGAAAATCTTAAGGAAGCTCAATATGATGAATGAAAAATAGATAGAAATCACAAAAAGTAAAAAAAACAAAAACAAAAACAAAAAACCCAAACCTCAAAACAACAACAACAACAACAACAAAAAAAGGCAATGCAGGACATGTACGAGAAATGCAACAAAGAGATAGAAACTATAAGAAAAGAAACAAGCAGAAATTCTAAAATTCAAGAACTTATTCAACAAAATAAAAAATACAACTGAGAGCTTAAGCAACAGACAAAAGAATTTCTGAACTAGAAGAAAAGCTTTATGAATCAACTCAAGTAGGACCAAATAAATAAATAAATAAATAAATAAATAAATAAATAAAAATGAAGATAGCCTACAAGATCTATTTGACAACCTTAAGTGTACAAACATCCATATGATGGGTGTACAGGAAGTGAAAGAGAAAAGAAAAGGCATTGAAAGCCTATTTAATGAAATAATAGCTGAAAACTTCTTAAGTATTGGGAGAGATATAGTCCCCCAGATCAAAGAAGCTCAAAGATCCCCAAACAGATTCAGCCCAAAAAGGACCTCCCTGACACACATTGTAGTCAAATTGTCAAAAGTCAAAGACAAGAAAGGAATTCTAAAGACAGCAAGAGAAAAGCATCAAATTGCCTATAAGGGAATCTCCATTAGACTAACAGTAGACTTCTCAACGGAAATTCTGCAGACCAGGAAAGAGTGGGATGATATATTCAAAGTGCTAAAAGAAAAATCTCCCAATCAAGAATACTATACTCAAAAAAACTATCCTTCAGAAATGAAGGAGAAATATTATCTTTCCTAGACAAACAAAAACTGCAGGAATTTACCACCACAAGACTGGCCCTACAAGAAATTCTCAAGGGAATCCTACATCTGGAATCAAAAGAATGATAATTGTCATCATGCAAACATGAGAAAGAATAAAAACCACTAATAGAACAGATATGCAAATGAGAAAGAGAAAGAAAATGTGTCTTATTAATAAAAAAAAAAACCCAAAACAGCAAAGATAAACAATAAAAAGGAAAGAAACAAAAGAAATATAAAACAACCACAAAAAATTAATAAAATGGCAGTAATAAGGCAATACCTTTCAATAACAACCTTGAATGTAAATGGATTAAATTCCCCATTTAAAAGATGTAGACTGGCTGAATGGATTAAAAAACTACACCCAACTACACGCTGGCTGCAAGAAATTCACTTCACCAGTAAAGATACACATAGACTAATAGTGAAGGGATGGAAAAAGATATTCCACACAAATGGAAATGAAAAACAAGCAGGAGTTCCCTACTTATATCAGATAAAATAGACTTTACATCAATAGCGATAAAAAAAGACAAAGATGGACATTACATAAAGATAAAAGGATCAATGCAGCAAGAATATATAACACTCATAAATATATATGCACCCAACAATGGAGCACCTGGATATATAAAGCAATTGTTATTATATCTAAAGAGTGAGATTGACCCCAACACAATAATAATTGGGGACTTTAACATGTCTCTCTCAGCATTGGACAGATCATATAGACAAAAAATTAGAACAGAAATATTGGATTTAAACAGCACCTTAGGCCAAATGTACCTGACAGTCATTTACAGAACATTTTATCCAACACCTGAAGAATATATTTTCTTCTCATCATCACACAGATCATTCTCCATTTAAAAAGACTGAGATCATATTAAGTATATTTTCAGACCACACTGGAATAAAACTAGAAATTAACAACAAATGAAACTTGGGAAACTATATAAATACATGGAAATTAAATAACATGCTCCTGAACAAACAATGGGTCAAAGAAGAAATAAAGGAATAAATCAAAAAATTCCTTGAAACAAATGAAAATACAGCTACAACTTACCAAAACCTATGGGATACTGCAAAAGCAGTACTAAGAGGGAAGATTATTGTAATAAGTGCTCACATCAAAAAAGTTGAAAGATCCCAGATAAACAACCTAACATCATAACTCAAGGAACTAGAAAAGCAAGAACAATTCAACCCTAAAATTAGTAGCTGGAAAGAAATAATAAAGATCAGAGCAGAACTAAATGATACAGAGACCAAAAAATGTTACAAAAGATTGATGAAAGAAAAGTTTGTTGAGAAGATAAACAAAATTGACAAACTACTAGCTACACTAACCAAGAAAAGACACAAATATAAAAAATCAGAAATGAAAATAGAGACAGTAAACTGATTCTACAGAAATACAAAGAATCATTAGAGATTACTATGAGCAACTATACAACAACACTTTGAAAGCCTAGAGGAAATGGATAAATTTCTGTACACATACACCCTACCAGGTCTGAACTATGAAGAAATAGAAAACCCAAATAGAACAATAATGAGTAATGAGAGTGAATCAGTAATCAACTGTCTCCCCAGGATTGATGGCTTCACTGCTGAATTCTAGCAAACTTTTAAAGAAGATTTAATATCAGTTCTTCTCAAAATATTTCAAAAAATCAAAGCAGAGAGTGTTCTCCCAAACTCATTCTATGAGGCCAGCATCACTGTGATACCAAAATCAGACAAAGACAAACAAAAAAAGAAAACTATAGACCAATATCCTTGAAGTTTTGAAAAGATGAATAGGCTAATTATCCTGAATAGGTCAACACACATTGTATACATGTATTGAAATGCAACTCTGTGCCCCATAAACATGTACAATCAATGTGTTTCAATAAAAATTTTTTTAAAACTCATGATTATAACAATATGCTGTAATAAAATTTATGGGAATATGGTCTCTCTCTCTCTCAAAACATCTTGTATTGTACTCACCTATTTTGGGAGAGCAATGGAATGGGGGTAACTGAAACCATGGAAAGAAAAATCAAAGATAAGGGCAGACTACTGTATTCCTCTTTGGTATTGCCCCAGGTTCCCCAACTATAAGAACATTTCCTACATTGAACTATTGCCTTTTTTCTTATCTATTTCCTGGAGAGTGTGAACTTTGTCTTATTCTTCTATGGGCATCCAATGTGTAATACAATGCCTGGCATGTAGGGCATATTCAATCAATATTTGCTGAATGTTTATTACCTAACTATAACTTAGATGACTGGAGGTGGGCAAGCAAGATGCGTTTTGTAAATATAGTGTTATTCACTCATTCATTTATTAACAAACATTGAATGACTATGATTAGCAGGCATCATGCTATGTGTTAGGAAACAGTGTTGGGCACATTTTAATGGGCACATTCAGAATATTACCCGGGAATGACCAACTCAGCCATATTGTTTTCCTTGGGACCTAATCTCTGAAAAGTGCAGTAGAAAATCTCATTAGCTTTTGTGTTGATTCTCAGTATGCTGGTCACATTGAAAAGCTTCTCTTTTCTCTTGGAATTGGTGGTGGTGTTGCCACTCAGGACTCAGTGGTACTGCTTGTAAAGATGACTTCAGCTTCGGGGTAACCCTCAGCCTGACACGTTAGTTCATGTTCAGAGGTGACTGGATCCTTGGAATTCTTCCGTTTATTTTGCAGTATGGGGCAAAGTCATGAGCCAAAAAGAAGTTAGGGATTCTGCTTGCTTAGCACAGAACTAGACATGTGGCTTGGTGTTGTCTACATTAAAGAGTATTAAATAAGGCTGATTCACAGAGAAATAAGTTTAATGTTCAGATGCCTCAGCAGTGGGGAACCCCTGAGAGCTCTGCCTGAACTTTTCTGTTCAAATTTGGGCTGAGTTTGGGCTGTATAGAACAACTGTCTTACTATAAATATCATGTTGGTAAGTTTACTGGGCTCAAACTCAATGTATAGATTAAAGAGAATTGTCATCTTTAAATCAGTAGTCTTTCAATGCAAATATAAAATATGTTTCTCCATGTATTTTAATCTTTATAGGTTTCTTATTCAAGTGCTATTGCTTTTACATAGGACCCCCTTTAATTTAAAATTTATTTCTGGATTTTTTTTGTTGTTGTTGTAAAGTTGTCTTTGTAAACAGGAACTTCAGCTGGCAGGCCATGTTTTCTTAGACTTTATTTGATAAACAGAAAATCTGATTTTGATGGGCCATTCACTTTTTGACTTTAAGTCAGTGATTAGAAATTGGATATGAACATACATACTATGTCATTTGTAAAAATTGGTACATGTTCCTGGTGATACTTTTTAAAGTTTAAATGTACTTTTTATTTTAGAATAGTTTTAGAGTTACAGAAAAGTTGCAAAGATAGTTCAGAGAATATACAGAATACTGTATATTCCTATCTATTTTCCCTTATTGTTAACATCTTACATCACCATGGTACAGTCGTCACAACTAAGGAACTAATATTATTACATTACTGTTAACTAAAGTCCATAATTTATTCCATTCCACAAGTTTTTCCCTAATGTCCTCTTTCTGTTCCAGGATTACATCTAAGGTATCCCATTATGATACTTATTTTTTTAACATTTTATGCTGACTACTTTTTTACATTTTAACATTTACTTGTACATATTTGTGGGGTACAAGGTGTTGTTTCAATACATGCACATACTGCACAACGGTTTGCTTAGGGTAGATATCATAGTCTTGTACCTGTTAGTCAACCACTTCTTCCCCACCTCTGTCCCTCCTGGCCTCTGGTAACCACCATTATTCTACTCTCTACTTCCATGAGAACTGTTTTTTATAGAGTCCACATATGAATAAGATCATGCAGTATTTGTCTTTCTGTGCCTGACTATTTTATTTTATTTTAATTTATCAATATACAATATATTTGATTTTCATGTCCCTTTACTAATTCCTCCTTTTACTCCCTCCCTCTCTCCCTTCCCCCCCATCAACATCATATCTGTTCACGTCTTAACAAAATCAAGGAATTGCTGTGATTGTTGTGTGTGACTGAGTATTTTAATAAGTCATTTAAATAGTTATTATACTCAAGGAAGAAAGTTTAATTAAAGTTTAGATAATTGGTTTGAGATAGTAAAATGTAAAAAAATTCATTTGAGACATGATCAACCACCTACCCCATAAAGTCATTTTCGGTATTAAGTGAGTTAATATAGGCAAAAAGCTTAGTACAGGGGCTAGCACAGAATAAGTAGCAGTGGGTAGTAGTTGTAGTAGAGCTGTTCCTCTTCCTCTTTTTACTACTACTGCTTAAATATACTCTTCTGGTACTCTTTACAAAGTGCTGAGAATTCCTGATGAACAGTTTTGGAAATAAAATTTCACATATCCAAACCTGTTCATGTTTCCAAAATTTTAGGCTATCATATTTGAGGAAATCATTCATTCATTCAACAAATACTTTTTGTGTGCTCTTGTCACACTACTACTCTACTATATGTCAAGCCCTAGGGATACAACAGTGAATAAAACAGACCAAAAATCCCTGCCCGTGTGGAATTTATATTTTAGAAGCAGGAGAGAAACAATAAAATAGATGGCAAAATTCTATGATATGCTACAGAATATATTAGATAGGAATAAATGCTATAGAGAACACTTAAACGGGGCTGGGGAATTTGGGGGAGAGATGAGGTTGGTGGGGAATGACCGCAGTTAATCTTTGGTCTGTATGATCAAAGTAGCTTTATCAAGATAACTAAACAACACTTTGTTTTTTTTCGGCTGCCTAATCCCATTTAAGATCCTGAAAGTAAAAATACACATTTCATTTTTCATGCTATTAGGATCAGTAGTCAAGGTAAAGCATTTTCAATTAAAAGTTAGATGCCTCAGAGTCTGGTATTCAAACTAACAAACACAAAAGGTGCAATAACCCCAAAGTCACAATGATAATTGAGTTAATCCAAAACTAAACTCTTTCAAATTTCAGTTTTGAAATGCTTCACCTTTAAAATTCCATGGTGAGTAAACTCCCTCTGGGGAAGCTGTGTTACCACAAATTTGCAGTGATGGGAAGAGAAGCCCAAGAGCATTACTGTGAAATCATTTGCATATGGAGGTGACTCAGGAGTTCTACTTCCTTAAGTTGTAAAGCTCTATTGTTGATACTGCCTCAGTGCTATCAAAGCTTGGTGGCTGGCTTGCTCTCAGTGCAGAAGGTTCAGACTCTTGGCATGGCTCAACTCAACTCCCAAGACCACTGTATGCAAATAAGTGGATTGGGACTAGAATGCCAATTTAGTAATTTATGATACAAAATGGTATGGTCAAATGAATCAGATCCTCAACCCTGGTTGGTCATCTGCTTTGCTCCATCAAAGACCTCTTTTTGGAAAAAACATCAGTGCAAGAGGATTTCTATTGTGCTGAACAATAATAGTGACAGAAACTTCAGGTCCACAAGGGATATTAGGGAGCCCAGATGACCTAGAAGAAATTCTTCCTCACTACAGGGACAGCTGTCTCCTCCCCGTTTACTCCCTAAAGGCTGATGAGAGACCTTCTCTGGAAGCAGAAACTTACATTCCATGCTTGCTTCTTCCTGCCTGCCAGGATTATGCTCTTCCTCCCCATCCCAGATCTAGCAATACTGGCTGTTCATGGCGTGAAGGCTTGATCATTTCTTCAATGCCTTGCAACATAGTAGATGCCTGATATTTACTGATGGATTGAAGAAAAGTTGAAAATATGAACCACCACATCCCAAGCTTTTTCTCATGAATGTCATGAATGCAGAAGTGTGTGGTAAAATATATTGAAAATTAAATCTACTTCACAAGACAAGTGGAATTTTCTTGACAACAATAGCACTAACTGAGCCAGAATCAGAGACAAAAATAAACCATAAAACGGATGCATTTGTCCTGTTCCCTACATAATTTTGTTTTTGAGTTTATAATTATTAGGGATCTTTTATGATAATTTAAACTTTTTGTACTTATGTTATTGACCTTCATATTGATGGTAGTTACTCTAGGAATGAAAAGACCAAGGGGAACTGATTTAATTCTAGTCAAATATTAAAAGGTCATCATGTAAACAAAAGAAGGAGGCAGATAATCTCAAAACCATGACTAGAGAGAGCAGATTTCAACTCAATACCAGGGAATAATTTCAACAGGCCACGGAAGGGTGGTCCAAATGACAGGGATGCTATCGTGGGAAGCAGATGAGCAGAAGATCCTTCAGGGGATTTCTGTTCTTTGTGGGAGTTTGGATTAGCAGCTCATGCCTGGGATCCTTCCAGCTCTCAATTCTATGAAACTCAATCATGCAAGCAGAGGTGGTCAGCTAAGGTGTTTTTCTGTACTTCCTAGTGCCTACCCCAAACCTTGAACTCAAGTGACCTTATGACATATATGTGGGTCAGTGCCCAGGAATTGACACTCACAGTTCCTCTTCAACACTCCGAGATAACATTGGTATAGATTTTCAAGATGAATGTATGTCTAGTGAGCATAGCTTATACTGTCTCTAAGGAAGAATGGTTTCCTTTGTACTTAATATGATTATTTTTTGCCTTCATAGATTGACTTCAAGTCTTTTTGAATGTGAACCTTTACAGTTGGATTTGTTTTTCCTATATTTATTTGGGTGCGACATAGAGAGTTTCAAAGGAACGAAGATGTAGCAGAACTAATAAAATAAGAAAATAGTAGTTGAAGAACAAAAAAAGTTTTTTATTCACACACAAATAGTGATTACTATTACAAATAGTGATAGTAATAGTGATGACTATCTTTGCTTGCCATGGAAGATGATGTGAAGGGAGGAGGGACACTTTTGCAATTCATTTTATTCCCTTCCATAGTATCTAAATTATTTACAAGTGCATGCATTACTCATAAAATAATAAAAAAGTAAACACAAGGAATTTATTTTTTGGGAAACTGCACAAACTGTAGAAACTGGCCCTATGTTGTTTGGCTCTGGATCTCCAGTGACTGTCATATAGGAGGTGCTCAAGAAAATGCTCATTGAATGAGTGTGTGAATGAATAAATAAACGATTACAGACTGCCGCTGCTCTGTCAAAAAGTAGTTCTGAACTTTCAGCAATGAAAAGTTCTCAATATGGGATATGTTTTTAATAAAGGTCAGGCCTCTTTATCATAACAATTCTTACCATTAACTTTCAAAGTTATCCACTTGTGTCCACACCACCATAGCCGATCATTCAGGAGTAAAACCCTGCATCCTGCTCTGAAGTGCAGCATTTCCCAGAAAAAGTCTGTCCTTCAACAGCCAGACCCTCTGTCTGAAGCTACTGTGCTGATCCTTCAGATCTTCTCCATGCACAAACTGGATAATATTCTTATCCTCCGTTTCTCTGTAGTCAATTAATAAAACCAGATCTAATAGTTTTTCCACTGGGAATTTGCATTCGATTGTCACATTGCTGCCATATTCTACCACATATAGGTCCTTTGGAACTATGACTGTAAATGCTGAAAAGAAAGATGACCAGTATTCAGAAGATGGAAAATTTCTCAAAACATTTACAAAATGGGTATAGGGTTTACGATGACTTTATCTGGTCAGTTATGTGATAATTATATTTAATGACTTAACTTCCCTAAAATATGTATTTTATCCAGTGGTCTTGAAACATGTTTTGGGATACTATATCTTACCCTGAGTTAGAATGATAAAATTAGTTAAACAAGTTACCCCCCAATTCATAAACATACATTATCACAGACATATCATATGATGATGGAGTACTTATAACCAGGGAGACTTGGTTTTATGTAGACATCTTCAGAACTCCTTTGACTAGGACATCTATTTGCTTCCTGCCTAGTCTGAATGGTAGATTCTAATAGTCATTTTTTCTTACTGCCCTAAACTTTTAATGAGTTCTCTGGCCAGAGGTGCAGGGGTAAGGAGATTTTGGGAGGGCCTCAAGATGATGCTGGCACTGTGTTACCCTGACAATTTCCATGTACACTAAAATTCCTCCTTTGAATATCTTCATCAGGAAAAGCAGGTCACAGAGCAACATAGATAGAATGACCCTGGCCTTGTTTAAAACAAATGAATAAAAGTATACATACGGGCCATTTTCTCAGAATATTTCAGTAGTTACCCTGGGAAATGAGTAATGGGTTAATTTTGTTTCATTCAGTTTGCCTATATTCTCTATACAATTACACAATGACACAGGTGACTTGTTTGTGAAATAAAGAAGGCAAAACAGAATATTCTCTCTATAAAAATCTACATCCATTTAAAATTATTATTTCAGTTTTAAACTCGTGGTTAATTATTTAAAATATAAAACATGATGAAAGGATTTGGTGTCTTACCATTCCACAATGGTAGGCTGTGAATGTAAAGACATTAAATATCCTCAACTTTCTGGAATGACCTAATTATAGAAAACACAAAAAGGAGACTCCTTTACTCAATAATTGAACACAGTATGACAGTATGGGACTTGGCAGTTCTAACTGAAATAGTCTTCTAATAACCAGCCAATGACTGATTTGTAAATTTGGAAATGCAGCAGAGAATTTGGAAGTTCAGTACCTTCATTGAATAGCCTAGAGCCATATAAAGTCAAGTGAAAGGGCCGGCCCGGTGGCGCACTGGAGAGTGCGCCGCTTGAGAGTGCGGCGGCGCTCCCACCCAGGGTTCGGATCCCATGTGGAGACCGGTTCCCGCTCACTGGTTGAGCGCAGTGCGGGCGCAACACCGAGGGTTGCGATCCCATTACCGGTCAGTAAAAAAGACAAAAAAAAAAAAAAAAAAAAAGTCAAGTGAAAAAAAGTCACTATGATGAGAATTTTTAAATTTAATTACTTGTACTGCACATTCAAAAGAAGCCAGGGAGAAAATATCACACCAAAATCCTCTCAACTATTTCATGTTTTTTTATGCATTGCAATTTATCTAGAAATTCAAACCTCACCTATGCAAAATTTCAAAGCAAGGAGAATATGATTTCCAGTTCTCCAACCTTTCAGTGCTCTTTCCCCCTTTACTGTGAATACTTTCAATCTACCCTTTAGCTATTGAAGAC